AAATATCCATTATATGATAATCATTATATGGGTTTAAAGGTAAATTTATCCAAGCCAAAGGAAAAATCAAATGGGAGAAAAGAAGTGATTAAAAAAAAAATACAGAAGGAGGAGGAGCCAAGAGAAAAGCTGTTTTCCACAGCATGGAATTGAATCTTCTTTTTTTTTTTTTTTTCTGTCATTGTCATAAAACATGTAAGATGTTAAAAATTCTAGCTATGATGGTTATGTAATTTTTTTTTCCAGTTTTTCTGATTAAAAGTGAGATGATCTTGTGAAAGAATCCCTTAAAAAGGAATTGAGAGAATAAAAACTTCTTAACAAAATCTGGCAAAAATCTACCTGTTCCTCCTAGTTAACTCAGAGTTTGTCAGATCTACAGCCACTGGCATATAGTATAAACAGGAGCATGAAATAACTTTATAACCAGAAATGAGTAGTATCTGGTTTTTGATTATAAAGATGCTGGGCCCCCTTTAGCACTGTATGTGATTCAGCTGTACTGAAAATTGGCTTCATATGTTGTCATAAATGGATTCTCAAGTATTTATAACAAAAAGAATACCTTATACCCATGTACATGTGTTTAAAGATGAATTAGTGTAATATTTACTCATGCACAACTAAGATGCCGACAGCTGCAAGATACATCACAATTCAAGAGATGTTTAACCGAAAATGGCAGTATCTTAGAATCAATGAATATGGATATGTATAATCGATCACACATAATATATTTTCAACAAAGTAATTATAAAAGAAATTATTAGAAAAAAATGCTAATTCAGTATTCCTTTAAAAAATATTTGTTTGCTTCTCATGAAATAGAGTTCTTAAGGTCAATACAGGTATGAATAGCCTTAAATCAAATATTAGAAGTAACTAAAACAGAATAAAATATGCACATGTTGAACTCCCAAGAAGTTGTATTTCACTTGAGACTTTCATGAAAACTTATACATCTCAAATATTTCAAAACTGAAATAAATTCAAACAGCCATGAAAATTTAAAATTCTTAGTTTTTCATTGGTCTGTCTTTGCTCAGGAGCATAGAGTCAAATGAGTTTTAAAATCAATTAAGTCCAAAAAACCAAACTCACTGCCATAGAGTTGATTCTGACTCACAGAGACCTTACAGGACAATGCAGAACTGCCCCTAAGATTTTGAAGGCTGGAAATCTTTGTAGAAGCTGCCTGCCTCATCTTTTTCCTGCAGAGTGCTGGTGGGTTTGAGCTGCCAACCTTTCGGTTGGCAGCTGAATGCTTTAACCACTATGCAACCAGATTGAAAAAAAAAAAAAAAAACCAATTCACTGCTGTCCAGTCGATCCTGACTCATAGCGATCCCTCTTTGGGCTTCTGAGGCATTATTGCTAAGGAAATAGATTGCCCAATCTTCCTTCTGAGGAGTGGTTGGTGGGTTTGAACCACCAGCCTTCTGGTTAGCAGTCAAATACCTTAGGCACTATGCCACCAGAGCTCCCAGAGCTCCTTAAAATCAGTAAAAGATGTTTGAAAATAAACAACTTCATCATACCATTAATTCAGCTACTTTTCACAATTTAACGTATTAAACTTGAAACTTTAGGGCAACCTCTTGGGATAAACAAGTGGAAAACCCGGTGTGAGGGAAGGAAGGGAGCATTTACATTGAATCTTATCTAGTCTACCAAGTACCATAAAGAATTGAAAAAAAAAAAGGGGGGGTGTAATTGTAAGGAGAGGAATTTTCAGTCTATTAAAACCATATTTTGGGGTCTCATGGATGCCTGCTGTCATAGATATAAATATCTTCAGTAAGGATTAAGGAAATACTATAAAATTATTCGGAATTTATCTTTGGTGAATTGTATATGATGTAGTCACTAATTTTACACTTTTAGTTTTGAAAAATTTGCCTTCAAAACTTAACTTCTGACTAGATGGTACTCGGCTACCACTGTCAACCACTCAGAGAGATCTATGTAGGAGATCCTGGACAGAGTGGGAGAACAAAATGTGAAACAAAACTCAAAATCATTAAAAATAAATAAATAAAATTATAAAAATGACCAGGTTTACTGGTCTGAAAGAGTCTGATGGAACACTGAGACTACGGCCTCTAGATGCCCTTCAGATCTGGAATTGAACCCACTCCCAGGTGGCTTTCAGGAAAACAAAAGACAGGCATATGAGCTGAACATTTACATTAAGTAGACACAGTCCTTGAAGAGATCAATCATGGGAGACAGCTGTGGGGGCGGGCAGGAGTGCATGGGAGGGAAGGACCTGTGAAAGAGGTAACTATGGGGAGGAAGCAGGAGGGGACAAAGCACAAAGCTGTTGCATTTTGGGAAATTGCAGTCAATGTCATGAGACAAAGTGTATGTGAGCTGCTGTATGGAAAGTGAATTTGCTCTGTAAACTTACACCCAAATCACAATTAAAAAAAAATAATAATAAACAATCTTCTGTTTAATTTTAGGTTTTTTTTTTTTTTCTGTGGAGAGTTATCTTTATAAACCCAAGGTGAATAGTTTGGACATAATCAGATCCTTAGTGAATTTTTGAGTATTTTAGAGAATGTCTATGGCTTAATAAATATGAATAACTTCTAAAAATATATCAAATGTTTATAAATTCATATGCACTGAAGTAGAAATATATCCCCAGAGAAATAAAATGCAGTTATATTGTAGTGTTTATATGACACATTTCTATATCATTACATAATTTAGGGCACAAAAATGCTGCCAGACCAAAAGTGTTATTCAAGTTCCTAATTCTGTTAACAATTTAAACTTTCATTAATTATATTTAATATCAATGAATCCAAAAAGGCTTTTCTTGTTATATTAGTTGAAAATAGGCTCTATTTACATAAATTACGTAACCTAACAATACCCTGTTCTCCTTTCTCATTTAAATTAATTCTAACAAGTCAAATATTAATTCTCTTCTTACAAACTATTACACAGGAAAACATCAATGATTCAAGTAAAATATAAGCACTAAAATCTTTAAGAATTAGATCTTTAAGTAGAAAGAAAAAACAAGACATCACAAACTAAAAATCATCATCTAGCATGGAATTGCCTATCAGGGAGTTTGTCCCTTCCAATAACAGCCTTGGCTCATTACAAAGTTAGTGCAAACTAATGAGGGTGTGAAAAATACGAAACCTTGATTTTTCAGGGTTCCATTTTATTATACTCTTTTGAATGATTTATTCCATATGGAAATTATTTTATGAACATTGTTGTTGTTATGTGCCGCCACGTCGGACCCGACTTATAGCGACCCCTCCTTGGGTTTCTGAGGCAGTATCACTACAGAAGTAGATTGCCCCATCTTCCTTCCAAGGAGTGGCTGGTGGATTTGAACCCCCAGCCTTCTGGTTATCAGTCAAGTGCCTTAGGCACTATGTTACCAGAGCTCCTTTATGAACATTATAATGCTTATTTTATAAATTATCAGCATTTTAATTAATGGATATATACCAATTTTTCATTTCATGGGGGTTTTCAGGCATCCATTTCTTTTCCTGTTTTTTTTTTTAAAAATGCTATGTCTGATAGGCAGGCTGGAAAATGTAAGTTTTACATTACTCTTGGTGATCAAAGGTTTCTTTTACATGTGAGTCACAGTGCTGAATCACGTCATTGTACCCAATTTCTCATTTTGGGAAGAAAATGCAGTTCAATTTAACAGTATAACTTCTTGGTTGTAGAAGATAGCTAGTGGGTTTCTGTGTTTTTTGGCTCTAGAACAACTTACTACAAGTTTGTTACTCCTCTTTAGGGTAGAATATGAGGTGAGTGCTAATCTTCATTAAAATGCAAATATCTACAACTTTGATTAATTGAAGGGTGAGAAGGCAACAAACATGGGAAGTTAATTATGAGAACATATTTTAAATAAATTCCTTTCTTGTCACAGGCACAGCTCTGTATTGCACACACGGTTGTTGGACTGCTATCCAATAAAGTATTGCTGTTGTTGTTTGCCATTGAGTCAGACCCAACTCATAGTGTCCTCTCCTTGGGTTTCTCAGGTGGTATCACTTTGGAAGTGGATTGTCCAACCTTCCTTCTGAGGAGTGTCTGGTGGGTTTGAACCACCAACCTTCTGGTTAGTTGTCAAATGCCTTAGGCACTACATCATCAGAACTCCACAGGGATACAGTAATTATGAAGAAATTATCATTGAAGAAGAGTCAGAAACTTTGTGCCGCTGTATCTAGGGTTGAGCATTGCATCACTCCAGGGAGTAGGAGCAAGAGCAGGAAGTGCTGTTGACTCAAGCAATGGTGCAAATTGGTTCCCTGGAGTTATGTCTTGCAGTAGTCTCAGCCTTAGATTATCACGAAAGGCTGGAAGTTGGTTATGGGTAATTCAGTTTGAATTACTCTTTTCTACTATGTTCTGAAATTTTCACATGCTCTTATTTTTAAGATTTCAGTAGAGTACATTTGAAAATACTTGTCCAATCAAATATTTTAAATATTCAAGAGGTAGCATGATATCGTGCAATGGACACTGGCCTGGGTATGTGATAGATCCTTTTTTCTAACACTGCTTCTTATCACTTAGGTGTTTTTGGAGAAACCATTTATACATTTTTTATCTCAGTTCTCTGACTAACCAAAAAGTTGAATTAGCTTATTCCTAGGTTATCTTTTGCTACACTACAGTTTTCTACTGTTATGGATTCTGGTGACATGGGGTGAATGAGGGAAATATTGTCCTTAGGCTGCATTGAAGGGCAAAAGTAATACAGCTTTTAATTAGAAAAATATTCAGACCTACTTGGAGTGAAAAATCTAACTAAAGTCATTCAAAAGTGCCGTACTTTGCTTGATGGCAGAGTTTCCTCACATCTTGTAAATTTCAATTCACTGATTAGATAAATGAATTGGTGAAATAATCTGTCCAGTTTACCAGGTAAGAAGATTCAGAACTCCACATCCGGAAACAATGAAACTATTCAGGATCTTACTTTACAGAGTTCCCCTTATTACACATTCAGCTTTAAAAACCAGTATTCTAATAAAGTGACATTGTATTATTAGGTTTTTATGGCAGTAGTAACTTAGCACTTATTTAGTCCAGTCACCTGTGACATATATAAACTTATCCTGTAAGAAAGAAAAAAACAATATAAAGAAGAGAGAAGGTTGGAGTTAGTATCCATCTTACAAAAAATGAAAAAAAAAGAAAACCAAACACACATGCATAAAACCACAGTTTCAAAAACAATATCCCTTACTGTGATATTAAGATTCTATCTTTTCACTTCTCAAACAAGTGAAATACAATTTATTCATCTAGGTGTTCTTGTCTATTCACTGCCAATTGCTAAAGTGTTTGGCAAAGTTAGTATAACTGATTTTTTTTTTCATCCACATGTTCAGTGCAGGAATTACTGTACCCTTGTAGTGACACAATGCTACAATTCTCACAGCATTGTCTGTCTCTGGGAAGCTAGGAATGTCAGGTACCTGTAAAGTGTAATCAGTGCTCTTCAGATGATCTACATTCTATGCTGATCTAAATAAGTTATATATTACAGTAAAGTGCTACAATGACACTAGTTTCAAACAGTAGTAAGACACATTTTTCTCTGAATATTTCAGCAGCTATGTGAGTCACATTAAGATGAGGATGTTGTCAGTCTTCGTTGGAGAATATAATCAGCAACTGGCATGACCTTGGATGTTTTGACTCCTCCTGTGACTTTTAGAATTATAATTTTTAGGAGCAATTATTAATAGTCCAGTTTCTCATGAAATACTTTTTTTTTTAATCTTCTTTAGTAGTTGCACCTGAAAGTTTCATGAGCGTTTAATTTGCTGATATCCATTTTTATTTCTTCAGGCTTCTCACGTCGATAGGTTACTGTTCTTGTGCAAACACTATGCAGAAGCAACTTATCCTTGATGGAAAAGAAACATGAGTATTAAGTAAAGATCTAAATATTTTAGTTAGACAATAGTATATGCAGATAGCAATTCCGTTTTCTTTTATCTCACTAACCTTTTTTGAGGTTGACCCTCTATAATCTGCCGAGGACTTAATTTTATTACTATTCCATTGCAGTATCACCTGTCTAATGATGAGGACTTTAAGCAACCCAATCAAGAAGGTTACTATAAAGATGATGAAAAATATTCTCAAATAGCTTGGGCTGGACAAACATTCTGTAATGAAGCAAACAAACAAATGGGTTAAAAAACTGCAATCAGCACATCGAAAGATTATATAAGTAAACCATATTAACCATCCTAATTAATAAAACAGAGACATTTGCAATTCTACAGGAGACTGCCACTACTGTTGACTTGAAAACTAAATTCTCTAATTTTTATTGCACATATATTTTTAAAATATTTTCAATAAAAAACTCTCTTTTAGAGATTAGCCACAATCAAGGCATTTGATAAGATTCTCTGTGGCCTGATTCTTTAATAATTACTTTAATAATAATTGTATTAACTGAAACATGTACAAAACCCTTAACCAAACATAATTCTATCCACGACAGGTGCACAGTATTTGTAGTGTGCATTGTTGATCTCTAAGGGAAAAATGGGATTTAACTCTCACTATATATACACGTGGGAGCTCTGGCAGTGTAGAGCCTAAGGCACTTGACTGCTAACCAGAAGACTGGTGGTTCAAACCCACCAGCCACTCTTCGGAAGGAAGGTTGGGCAATCTACTTCCATAGTGATACCACCTCGGAAACCCAAGGAGGGGTCACTATGAGTTAGGTCCAATCGATGGCACATAACAACAACAACAACTACGTATATACACGTATTTTGTAACAGCTCTGGCCATTAGCATGTTTCTCTTGTTATGCTGTTCTTATTTGTTGTACACCTGTAACGGGAAACAAGGTAAACATCTCCAGAAGCTAAAATCTGTACGACTCTAATTGTTGTTGTTGTTGTTAAGTGCCGTCGAGTCAGCCCTGACTCATAGCGACCCCTTCTTGGGTTTCCGAGGCAGTATCACTACGGAAGTAGGATTGCCCAACCTTCCTTCTGAGGAGTGGCTGGTGGGTTTGAACCGCCAGCCTTCTGGTTAGCAGTCAAGTGCCTTAGCCACTATGCTACCAGAGCTCCCCGACTCTAATAGATAACGTAAATATTTCCTTTGAAATTACTGTGAAAATTTCCATCATTATTATTATAATACCTGGCTAATCCAGGATCTAGGAGTGTCTAACTTCTTGGGATAAAACACAAAACTCTAATTTTTATTAATTTACTTTTACTTACCCATTAGCTAAAGGTATTCTATTCTGCTTTAAAAACTCCATTGTGTATTCTTTCAAGAGCAAATCACTCTAAGCTAGTAAAAGAAATGCTGCATGAGGAGGAGGGGCATGTTAGGTCTCTGTTTTAGTCCCAGACTTTTGGCACACTCTAGTTGGAAAGTCTACAGGGCTCTGTTGCTAGAGCCATTATCTTCATCTAAATGAAACATGGTTGCATAATACGTAAGTATTCCACAGAACTCATCAGCTGTTTTAGACTCAGAAAATCATCTCCTGGCATGAAGCGTCATGGGCTTCTCCAACCATTTCCCAGACTCTGGTAATCTCTGCTAAATGGCTATGGGTATCCCTGAAGAGTTCTCTAGGGAAGGACTCTGAAGGCTTACAGTAGTAGCACTCACCTGATTATGAGTCATTTGGGTCTGAATCCTCAAGGACAGCCAACTGTGCTGTTCCATAAGCCAAGAACAGTGAGGAGAGCAAGGAATCCTTCCCAAGAGGAGAGACTGAATAGAGTCAAATTTTTTTGTTTTGTTTTGTTTTTTTAATAAGGTTGGTTGAAAGAAAGGTGCAAGAGAGGTCTGAGGAGTAAATATTGCAATTGAAGCATCAGATGCAAATGCGTGGCTCCCTTGGTTACAGATCATACAGAGAGAGAATCCAAGTTGCCTTAGACAAAGACAGTGACATTTGCATCTTCCACAGCAACCTTCAGGTTTATACACTGACACACATGACTTGCATTCTGGCAAACTGTCATTTCCCTTGGCTGACTTAGAACTACTCAATCAGCTAAAGTAGATCCTCAGAGGGAACACGTGGCATAATCCACTTATTGGCTTCTAGCCTGGTGGGAGCTTAGCCAGAAAGATCAAAAGAATGCCCTTTAAGAGTGATTGAGCGGATGGATAATAGAAGTGGCTAACAAGTGTCCTTTCCTCTCCTTGCACAATAGTTATGAAGGGGAGGAGAGCCCCCTGGCTACTGACACATTTGAGAACTATGTCTAATGAGACAGGATAAGGGACACTTGCAGGGCTCAAATTTGTGCTCATTTTTAGTGTCATTAAGGATGGCTACACATTTACCCCTGGTCCATGCCTCTTGGTGCAGGTCAGGCAAGGGACTCTACTAAGGGGCTATAAGGGAAGACTTTTTGTAAAGCCCTTAAGTCAGAGTAGGTTTGTTTACTTAACATAATAAATGACATGTTGATAGTAAGGGCACTATTTATTAGAAAAGGCACTTGGCTTTCTGTAGTGATTGCTGCAGTCCCAGCTGGCTGCACATGGGGCTCTTTTCAGAGCCAGATCATTATGGTCTAAGATCAGTGTGGATATGAAGGCAAAAGGAAACACAATTTGAGGAAAGTTTATTCTTCTGTGCAATCTATCTAAGAACTGGAATTATTCTTACAGGTCTGAGGAGAGACTTGGAATAATAGTAGTGGTAAGCATGTTTTCAAGGAGCTCTGGTGGTGCAGTCGTTAATGCGTTTGGCTGCTCACCAAAAACGTCAGCGGTTTGAAACCACCAGCTGCTCCACAGAAGAAAGGTGAGGTAGTCTGCTTCCAGAAAGATTTACAGGTTTGGAAACACACTGGGGGTTGCTATGAGTAGGAATTGACAGTGAGTTTTTTGTTTGAGGCATGTTTTCAATGAAGGCCCAATTTCAAGCTTAATTTCTAATTCAGATATAGTTCAACATTCCATTGAGAAATGTGGTACTGGCTTTTTGGGTTCTAATGAACTTTGTCTAACAGTAGTCTATGATCATAGCTATCACAAGTTTCTCCACTTATATGTCACCTAGCTCTGGTAGTAAGTATAGTGAGTAAGGCATTTGGATGCTAACCAGGACATCAGCAGTTCAAACCCACCAGCTGCTCTGTGGGAGGAAGATGAGGCAATCCACTTCCATAAAGATTTACAGCCTTGTAAAACTAATGGGGGTCAGTATGAGTCAGAATCAACTTGATGGAAGTGGGTACAGATACTCTTCAGTGCTTTGATCATTAAGTTTTGGTACCTGATGTTTGGTCCACAGAATGTTGTTCCATGAGAGCACATGAGGTTTTACACTGATCAAGTAGAGCTTGAGAGAGATTGTGAGGGTGAAGGCATTGCATACAATTCCTACAAGGGGAGACAGAAGTAAAAACATTCATTTAAAAAGATTGTAGCCTGTAATATTTTTCTGAAAGAAATAAAATAACAAAATAGCTTTTGGAAATAGGAAAGGAAGCTATGCAATTTATTTGTCATCTTGGCTGAATTTAACACCATGACAAAGTTACATTCTAGCTGCTTGACATATTTTAATAATATAGAAAATTAAAATAATGATTTCATTGTATGGAGAAAAAATATCTAGGAAATAAATGTTATTGTTGTTATGTGCCGTCGAGTCAAACCCGACTCATAGCGACCCCTTCTTGGGTTTCCAAGGCAGTATCACTACGGAAGTAGGATTGCCCAACCTACCTTCCGAGGAGTGGCTGGTGGGTTTGAACCACCAGCCGTCTGGTTAGCAGGCAAGTGTCTTAGCCACTATGCTACCAGAGCTCCCAGGAAATAAATAAGATATCACAAATCAACTAGTTAGTGGTACAGATTTTTAGAAGATTAATATTATGATCGGAAAATTTAACAATGATAAACAATTCAAACTTTGGTCAGGTTTATTAGAAATAGCTCCATAATTATGTTTTAGTACTGTACTTCAAAATGAATTAAGTAAATTACTACATATAATTTTTAAAATTACTTGAGCTAACAGTCTGAGAAAGCTAAATGTCTTTAAAAAATTGAAGAATATAGTCATGTTTAGAGTGGTGGTCTATTCTTGGAAAATCCATTATTGGAACAAAATAATAATGTCACCATTTAACACTTACTCCTGTACTGCTTATGCACTCATGCACTTGTTCCTAGAGTGCATCATAGCTACTATCATTCTTTATCTTTACAAAATAAAAATAAAATAGAGTAATAACAGTGTGATTATTATGGATCAAGTATAAAGGATTTTTTTTTTCTTTTTAATATGGATAGTTTAATTCTTTCACAGAAATGAAGTCAAGTATAATTATCCTCACTTTTCATATAAAGACACTGAGGCACAGAAAATTTGAGCAATTAATACAACTAATTAATAGGTGGGAAGCAGGCAGCACCTAATTTTAAAGAGCTATAGCAAAAAAAACTAACAGATCTGTCCTGGAGGAAGTGCAGCCAGAATGCTCCTTGGAAGCAAGAATGGCCAGACTTCGTCTCACCTATTTTGGTCATGTTGTAAGAAGGGACCACTCCCTGGAGAAGGATGTCATGCTTGGTAGGGTGGAGGGTCGACGAAAGAGGGGGAGGCCTTCAAGGAGATGGATTGATACAGTGGCTACGATGATGGGCTCAAGTATAGCAGGGATTGTGGGGCTGGCGCGGGATCAGGCAGTGTTTCGTTCTGCTGTGCATGGGGTCGCTATGAGTCGGAAACGACTCAACGGCACTTAACAACAACAACAACAAATAGCAAAAAAGCTAAAGTAGTGACTAGCTACATAAATTTTGATGCTCTCACCTTTATCTAGCTGCCAAGAATTACAATCTGTTTCCTAATGTCTAATACTCCCCATTCAATTCTTTCTTAACATGATGATAAAATTTTATCTGTAGGAAAAGATCCAGCAATTTCCAAGATTTAGGAGGTAGAATCCAAAAGGACCAACAAGACTATTATGGAGGTATGCTTTACATATGTTTAGTGGCAGAGAAAACATACCAGTTTTCATTGCAGGCTGTATTACACGTGGGGCAGTGTTCACAGAAACGTCCTATGCTCATGGGATCTGTGCACTCACATCTGCCACACACACAGGTGCCTCTCCCGCTGCACACTTGGCCCTTTGAGTTGACACAGTGCTGGGCTGAGGCTGACGGACATTGGCACCAATCCCCTTCCCAGCCACTGTAGCACTGACATCTGCCAGCTTCACACTCTCCATGACCTGCAACAGAGACACTCCAGGACCTAAGTTATTAGTGCCACTGACTTTGTGAAATTTAGAAACATGCATTCCCTCTGGTCTCCATGAAAACATAGGAACAGTCCACTGAATGGAAGCGTCATTATTTTCTATTTGCCTGACATAAACAATCGCTGGGCTTTCTTAGTATCTATAGTCAGAGCTGTTCTAATGTAGATAATCTCCCAATTCTATATATCGTGCTGACAAGTATGAAGTCAGCCCCTGCTGCGGTTGTTGCCTGACTACTTGAATGTCACTGCACACTCAGTTTTAAATTAAAAACACACAAGTAAAAAGAAGTTACAATGGCTGAAGTAATGTTAATTGTCTGGATTGAAATCAGAAAAATGAGAGCATGAAATTAATGGCTTCCATAATTTATTGTTTCTGTAATTTAAGTCTTTCGTTATTGCTAAGGCCTGGAATAACTTTGAAAGACCATGAGGCTTCAGTTCTGTTAGTGTCATGTTTAAAGAAAAGGTTTCCTGTGAAGTTGAAAAAATCCTTTCAGATGCCCAGCACATTATTTAGTAGGTTAGTGGAGCATGTCATAATGTATGCAGTGAGCCATTATTTGGTGTTAAGTGCAAAAGAGAAAGCAAGGTGGTAGGGGATGTTTACATGGACAAACAAGTTGTAGAAACATTAGTTAAATGGTTAAGTTGGTTAAATAACATAGTTATATGGAATTCACACTGCAAGAAGTGTCCAAAATTTAAGATCCTAATGTGAATTATGGAGCCCTAGTGGAGCTCTGGTAG